AAAGAGGAAATGCTGGCCTTGGTAGGATCATTTCAATTTGATCTTGTTGGAAAATTTAAGATTTGTAGGCCTAAACTCGACCTTATTCATTAGTTTTTCTTCAATCTTAAACTTTCTAGTGGATTCTCTATCATTTTGCAAGATCAAAGACATATTTTGATAGAATTGTAGAATGATTTGGATTATAGCTAGATTTTTAGTCATAGATCTTATTATGTCTGCAATTGCTATATAAAGCTCATAAAATGGTCTCCATTTTTTGATATTATTGTTGAATCCCCTATTATTCATATCTGTATCTCCTTCCTTAAGCTTTGTCTGCATTTTTTTCTCCAAGGATCATATAAGGCTTGGAAAGCCTATTTGGCTATCCTCTACAAATTGATAACACTACGGTCCTAGGTTTACGACCCTCGGTTGCGACAGTGTTGGTTGAGCTTAATATCACCAAGCAATATCCCAACTCAATTTGGTTAGGTCCAAAAAAATACAACCATGTTTAGAAGATTGTAATGAATGACTTTCCAGCTTTTTATGATCACTATAAAATATTAGGCCATAGTAAGCTTTATTGTAACCAACTGAACCTGAATATTAGGAAATCCCAAATTTTCAAGCTAAAACGGGTTGTTGTTAATGTTGATGAACCTAAAGAAACTGAGGAGGCTGCTAATATTCCCCTTATTCCTGCTATTAATCTAACTAAAACATGTCCTGATCTCACCGCGAATGTTTTGCCTCCTAATGTTAATATTTCTGAACCTATGATCCCTCCTATGGGTAATGTAAATGTTGGCAAAAATGTGACTATTTCTGATGGCTCTTCTAATGATGCTTCAATCTCTTTAAATGTTTCCAATATGATTCCTGCAATTAATTTACATGTTTTATCTGCATTTGATAATGGATCAAGGCTTCGTTTGGGTCGGCTTTTTTATTACTTTTTAAAATGGAGTTTTAGTTCAAAAATTTTACTTTTTTATTAAAACTCCATTTTAAGAAGCAATAAAGAAACAGTCCCAAACGAAGCCTAAATATGTATGCTACGATTGATGTTCAGATCTAATCATAACGGCTATATTAAATATGAGATGCCTTGCCTTAATCGAATACCATAAATTTGTCTAAACTGAGGAGAAGAGTAATCATTAATATTTCGAGGAAAATTTAATTTAGCCATAAAATAAATTAACTAGTTAACATGAATATTAAAATCGCGCGCACATATAACATCTATCATGTAGACATCGACATAATAGCATTTTGAGCACAACTCAGATTTCGTTTGGGACAACTTTTCTCCTATTTCTTAAAGCGATTTTTTAAAAAAATTTACTAAAAAAAACCACTTTAAGAAACAATAAGAAAACCGTCACAAACGAAACCTCATTCATTCGAGCTGCGTTATTCTTTTTCTAACTATTAGAAATTAATTGCAGTAAGCAGTAATAGCATGAGCAGCGCCCGTCATTGCCCGCCACATGCGTCATTAAAAATATTTTATTATTATATAATTAATAACCACGTGTTAATATCTTATACGTCATAATCTTTCAGTTCCTATGGATATCACATTAGTGGATTACCTTCCTTTGAATCAACAGCCTTTTTTGACGGATACTTCTTCGTCTTCTCCATGTGCGGAAGGTTAATTGTAAAGAAAAAATAAAAAGAAATGTGCAAAATTTAATTCAAATTTATTAAAAAAGTAAATTGAATTCACACATCAATAATATCCTCTGTAATTTTAAATTTAAACTTATTCAATCTTTAAATTTA